GACCGAGAAAACTGCGAACCTCGGACGGACTCCTCGGTGTCGACCAGTTCTGAACGGCTGAGACCTTGGAAAGATCCACCTCGATACCTGCCTGAGTAATCACATGACCCATAAAGGATACTCGTTGGAGCCAGAACTCACATTTGGAGAATTTGGCATACAACTTTTCTCGTCTGAGGGTTTCGAGAACCACTCTCAGATGCTCCTCGTGCTCCTTCTGGCTCTTCGAGTAAATAAGGATATCGTCAATAAAGACAATAACGAACTGATCGAGGTAGGAATGGAAAATACGGTTTATGAGGTCCATGAAAACAGCTGGCGCACTGCTGAGACCGAAAGGCATGACGACGAACTCGTAATGGCCGTAACGAGTCCTGAAAGCAGTCTTAGCGATATCTGACTCCTTGATCTTCAGCTGGTGGTAGCCTGATCGTAAATCAATCTTCGAGAATACACAGGCTCCCTTCAACTGATCAAATAAGTCGTCGATCCTGGGAAGCGGGTACTTATTCTTGATCGTCAACCGGTTAAGATCCCGGTAGTCGATACACATGCGCATGGATCCGTCCTTCTTCTTAACAAAGAGAACGGGTGCTCCCCAAGGTGACACGCTCGGTCGGATGAAACCGAGTCGTAACAGCTCCTGAATTTGAGTCTTAAGCTCCTGCAACTCCTTAGGCGCCATACGATATGGGGCTTTAGATACTGGACCGGCCCCTGGAATGAGATCGATAGAAAACTCCACCTGACGGTTGGGCGGTCCTCCTGGAAGCTTGTCTGGGAACACGTCCACAAACTCGCGAACGATTGGAACATCATGAGGTGTTCGCGTTTTCTGAGAATCATCGACAAGGCTCACCAGATAACCCTGGCAGTTGCCTCGTCGCAGTAACTTAGCGGCTTTCACCATCGAAACTACATGAGGCAGTGAACGATTCCTGGAGCCAAAGAAAGTAATCGACTCGTCTCCCGGAAGATAGAGAGTGATCTCCCGGTCATGACACCTGATGTCTGCATGATAGAAGGATAGCCAATCCATTCCGAAAATAAGGTCGAAGTCCCTCATCTCAAGAACAAACGCGTCGACAGTCAATACTCGGCCACCAATGGAAAGGCTAAGATCTAAGGCTTTAGCTGAGGTCACTATCTTTCGTCCCGAGGCTAAACTCACCTCGAGAGGATCGACAACGGTAATGGCGTGAACTCCGATGGCATTGAGACATCGACGTGATATGAAAGTATGTGTCGCTCAGTTATCGAATAAAGCAAACACAGGAATATCATTGAGAACAACCATCCCTGACATAGTACCTGGCTGCTGTGCTGCCTCGGCCTGATCAACCGCGTAAACCCTAGCCTGCTGTCTGCCCCTCTGCTGCTGCTGCTGAGGCGGCCTCTGTGCCTGCTGACGTGGCTGCTGCTGCTGTGGTGGCGGCTGAGGCTGCTGAGGCTGCTGCTGGAGTCTTCTCGGACAGCGACTCGCAAAATGTCCCGGCTCGTGGCAGTAGTGGTAGATGTCCTGTCCCACATGGCACTCTCCCCTATGAAGTCGTCCGCAAGTCGGGCATGGTGGAATTGGCTGCTGTCTCTGTCGGGTCCTCCGGTCAGTCTGTGCACCCTTCCCTTTCCTCTTCTTCTCCTTTGCCGGCTCTGGGGCTCGTAGAGCTGGTGGAGCTGCAAATGGCTGAACTGGGGCGGATGGCTGAGCACGATCATGAACTGCCTCCCTCCTGATGCTAGCGTCCACCTCCTAGGCGATAGAAACTGCACGAGCGTAGGTCTGAGTCCCGTGTCCCATGATGTTATGACGAACCGCTGGGTAAAGCCCGTCAATGAACCGCTGCGCTCTCTGAGCCTCCGTGCGAACCAGGTCCGGTACGAAACCTGCAAGTCTAGTGAACTCTCGCTCGTACTCATCAACTGTACGAGTGCCCTGCTGGAGCGCTAAGAACTGACGCTCCATCTCTGCCCGATAGTAGGAAGGGTAGTACTTTTCGCGGACTACATCCTTGAACATGTCCCATGTACAACCCGCTTTTTCACCGGGACGCATGCTCCAGTAGGCATTCCACCAGAGCCTTGCATCACCAGTGAGCTGAAGCTGAGCGCAAACTACGCGATACCTATCGGGGCATTCCATGTCCTCAAAGATAAATTCCAACCCCTGAATCCATTCATCAACGATGCGGGGATCTCCCTGCCCTGAGAACTTTTCGGCGTGATAGTCGCGGAACTGAGCGACTACCGTAGGCTGAGTAGGAGCCTGATGATCGGGTCCTTACGTGGCGGCATCTGAACATTGAGAAAGTTTAACATTACTAAATACGTGATAACATTCTGACTGATTACTAAGGCACACACAAATCTATTGACGAGTCGCCAAAAGTGGCCGATAATTACTGACATGAAGCCTGAGGAACTCTAGAGTCATATCGAAAGATACTAAAGTCTAGAGTCATATCTGAATGCCCTGAATTCTAGAGTCATGTCCGAATTCTAAAGTCTGAACCTGATTCGAGCATCTTAACTAACGTCCTGATCCTTAATTCATAGCATAGACAAAGTAATATGTTTATACTGAAAAACTGAATCAGCACTTACCTTTCGTCGGCGGGGCGTGAGCATGACGGTTCAGGTTTTTCTTAAAAATTACTGACTGAAAACTTTTCAGAGACGCAGAAACGTGCTCTGATACCAATTGTAACACCCCTCCTTATCGTGAAATCAGAGTGCGAAAATTTCGCGCAGTCTTTTAAAAATAAAACCTTTTTACTTTGCGAAAGTTGATTAGGGGTGCTACCTTAAAAATCGTGACTTAATTGGAAAACCGTTATTTTAATTTTTAAGAAACTCATCCGGTTACTGAAAACATCAAGTTTTCCAAAAGTTCGTCAAAATATAAGTACATCAAAAGTCATCAAAAACATCGTCAGCGGAAGCGTAAGTCATCATAATAAATATACATATACAGTCAAAACATAAATGTCCTGAAGCCTCCGTCAGCTCATGCTCCCGGCCCGACGTCCTGACCTTAAAAACATGATAAAAGTGGGAAATGAGCACTATGGCACTGTGCTCCGTGGA